ATTGAAGCAGCCAAACAAACAGGTAGCTTTTCACAGCCGGGGGAATTTCTGTCTTCACAGCCTTCCCGCGCCTGGTCCATGTTCCCCCCCGGGCTGTACAAACAGGTAGCTTTTTCAAGTTGATATTTTGCCTCTTTGGAAGTAGAGCTCCGCGCATGTTTGTCTGCTTGTCAGAAGATCTCTCTTCAGTGCCTGGGCAGCCGGAGAATAAACATCGCTTGGTGTGAATGACTTCATCACATCTCAGAAGACCCGCCTCTCCCGGCTGCATCGGCTCTGAATTCTAAAAGCCGAGGGCCCTTGCGTGTGAAAGTCCTTTGTTTTGGGTCCACATAAAGCTGCTTTTTCTCCCCCCGGCATCTCCTCTGACCTGACCATGCCGGCCGCTTACAGGCTGGCGACGGGAGAGTGGCTTCACTCAAGAGCACAGCTTTCCCCCGGGCGCTGCGTCCAGGGAAGGCTGCTGCTCTTTTGAGGCTGTGAAGGAGGTAGTCTGGCCCCGGCCGACGTGGCTCAGTTGGTTGGGTGTCGTCCTGTGCACTGGAGGGTCCCTGGTTCGATTCCCAGGAGGGGGCGTGCAGGAGGCGGCAGGTCCATGTTTCTCTCTCTCTCCTTCTCCCTTCCTTTCTCTCTAAAAATCAATACACTATTCTTATTTTTAAAAGTAGTCTTGACGTCGAGATTTGATTAAATGAATTCATGCCACTGAGTGGAAGTTTTAGAGTGAGTTGGCGCCTAGCCTAACGTAGCAGTAGGCTGAGGAACCCTAACCCTGTCTGTCTGAGGTTTCCTGGTTTTAGCACTGACAGCCCTCTTTGTGGGAGCGCGCCCTGGGAGCCCCGCCTCCTGGGAGCCCCGCCTCCTGGGAGCCCCGCCCCTGCAAGCCCCACCTCCTGGGAGCCCCGCCTCCTGGGAGCCCCGCCTCCTGGGAGCCCCGCCCCTGCAAGCCCCACCTCCTGGGAGCCCCGCCTCCTGGGAGCCCCGCCTCCTGGGAGCCCCGCCCCTGCAAGCTCCACCTCCTGGGAGCCCCGCCCCTGCAAGCTCCACCTCCTTAGAGCCCCGCCTCCTGGGAGCCCCGCCTCCCCGGAGCCACGCCTCCCCGGAGCCACGCCTCCCCGGAGCCACGCCCTTCTCCCAGTCCAGGGAGAGTTCATGAGCGGCTTTATAACCATCCCACTTGTGTGTGTTCCATTTAATGCCCAAAAGGACTCAAAAAGAACCAAACGTTACGCGCTGGGAAAATCGCCACTTCACGTTGGAGCAAACGTATTGACACGCGCGATAGTCTCGGGGCTCTGGGGAGTGAGGCCAATTACAGCAGCAGCAGGAGCTGCGGGGCCTCTCCGCACGCCCTCCAGCCCCTGTCTGAGCATCAAAGAATGACACCCGCAGTCCACACAGGATAAGGAAGAAGGAACGCAGGCCCTGGGCGCCCAGCAAGGACTCCGGGGGACTCCCCAGAGCCTCTTGTCCCTGGAGAGGTGGGGTGGGGGGCCCAGGGGACGTGTCTGTGGGATTAGCTGGGTCATTTCAAGATAAAGTCAACTAGGAAGCAGGGAAGCGGGAAGCAGCGGGATCCAAGGGGCCTGGATGCTGGGGGGGGGGGGGGGGGACTCAGAACAGAGGGCCTCAGCGGAGAACCAGCCTGGAGGGGGGAGAGGGAGGGCTCAGGCTTAAACTGAAATGAACGAGCAGGTGGGTGACGGAGGGGAAGACTGGATTTGGAGGCCGTGGCCTTGGAGACCCTGGCCCTCAAGGATGTTCTAGAAACATCCTGAAGTGGCCACCTGGGTGTTGAGAAGAATCAGCCGGGCGTTTGGGGGCTCCAGACCACCTGTGCTGCACACACCGCACCCCAAATTGTCAACAAGCAATCTCGGCCCACGGAGGGGAGCGTTCTAATTATTGGGGGGCGATGGAGCTCTGTTTGTTTGGGACCGGCACCTCCTTGCGCTGGGGAGGGTCAAAGCATTTCCGTCGCGAGTCCAACATCCAGGAACACGAATGATTAAGCATCGGTGGTAAAGGAAACCGGGCCGGCTGACTCATGGCTTGTGTGCTCAGCCCGCCAGTAACTATTGGGAAATGCTCTGTATGTAAAGGGTTTAAATATTTCAGAGACTGTGTCCCATCGGGTAAGGCGTTAGCCTTGTGGCTCCAGCTCAGGAGACGCAGACATTAATTTTAGGTTTGCAATTTTAAGATAATTTACCTGAGTCTGAACAAGATCGGAATGTTTAAGAGAACCCGGGAAGCCTCTGGAAGTTTATGGGCCAGATTTACGGGGGCTGCGTAAGCATCGAAGAGAGCTTTCTCTGTTAATGAGGCACACGCATTGCTTGAAAGGAAGCCAAATACATTAAATTTACGAACGCAATTTGAAATATTCAAAGGAATTTAGTTCGCGGGCCCATTAAGACGTCCTCTTGGAGCGTTCTGAAACAGTAGGTTTATAAATGGAATATTAAAAATTTTCAGCCAAACTCCAAGGCTCGAATGAAAACAAAGCGTTTGAGATGTTTGCTTTAATCTGCAGACCGTTAAAAAAAAGAACAAAAGTGCCCTGGCCGGGTAGCTCCATGGGTTGGAGCGCCGCCCCGTAAACCACAAGGGTGTGGGTTCAATTCCCGGTCACGGCGAATCGCTGGGTTTCGGGGTCAAGCCCCAGTCAGTGTGTGTACAGGAGGCAACCGATAGATGTTTCTCTCTCTCTTCCTCTCTATGAAATTAAAAACAACAACAACAACAACATTAAAAACTTTTTTAAAAAAAAAAAAAGTAGGGAAGGTGAACCTGGCGACACAGAAGGGACCATGGGGATGGAGATGATGACAAGAGAAAGCATCGGGAGGTGGGGGCCTCGGCTGGTGACGATGACGATGATGACGATGATGATGGTGATGGTGTGTGTTTACCTCAACCCCATGATACCCGATGAAAAGGAAACGAAACGGGAACAGGTAGACCCAAGACCAGGAAGTGTGATTCTAATCCGAGTCTCTCCATCTAGGGCCTTAGATGCAGCCCTTCGGATGGGTGACGGCGGGACCACAGGTTTGACCACGGAGGCCACAGAGCTGGTGCCAGAGGCCAGACGCGTCCGGGTCAGCAGGAGGCTGGCCGGCTCTCCGGTGGGCGTGAGGCTGAGTGTCCGCGCCCCCCGGCGCCGTCCCTTTATCGTGTCTCAGGCTCACGGAGCTACCGGGCAGCGAAGGGGACGGGAACGTCCTGTTTTCAGATCCACGCTTACGGATCAGCCTTGGCTTTCTGTTCCGAAACGTTCGCCATCACTCTGCTGAGCGGAAGAAGCCAATCAGAGAAAGACAAGTAGCCCACGATCTCACTCATGTGTGGACTCTAATGAGCCAAATAGACTGATGAGCAAAAATAGAGCCAGCGTCATAGAAGCATGAACAGACTGTGGAACCTCAGAGGGAGGGCGGGGGAGGTGGGTGGGAAGAGACCAACCAAGGAACGCGTATGTGTATAGGCGTCACCCGTGGGCACAGACACTGGGGCGGTGAGGGCCTGAGCCTGGGGGGTGGGGGGAGTGGGCTGGAAGGGGTCAATGGGGGGGGGGGAGGAAGACCTATGTAATACTTTCACCAATAAAGATTTAAAATAATAATAATTAAGAAATAAAACGTTAACGATCCCCCCAATAGAAGCGTACATGCAGCTGAGTGAAAGCCGGCAACCCTACCTTCCTGCCCGTGAGCCACGGCCCCTCTGACCCCAGGTCCCGCGTCCGCTGACCGGCTGGGCCCGTGAAGGTTGGATAAGGCTGATGTCCTGTGGGGGTGGCTTTCTGCGGCTGTCCTGACAGCTCTGGCTTTTCTCGGGGGCTCCCCAGGGTGGCGAAGAGGAAACACGTTCTTCACCCCCCAAGGAGAGAGGACCCCCCCCCTCCATCATCGAGGGACTGCCCCGCGGTCAGGGGCGTGCCGTGAGGCAGGTGGGTTTCACCTGCGTGGCCTCGCATCGGTCTCCTCTGCTTATAAAAGTATTATCCATTGTCCGCTCTTTGCTCTGCAGACTCTTCGGATTGTCTGACGTGGACCCTGGGTGTGTGAGACAGTGAAGAGAGGGGAGAAATGGATGGCGCCGCTCCGTTCCCCTGCACCGGGGGTGGGGGTGGGGGGGCGGCCAGGGCAGGAGGCCCCTCACAGCGGGCCCCTGTGACCCCTGTTGTGACCCCCTGTCAGGTGGCACCACTCCCCGTCCTGGGGGCAGAGCATAGCCCAGCCCCCAGCCTGAGCGGGACCACCCAGCCGCCACCCGGAGTCCGGGACGGATCCCCCCTCTGTGAGCGTGGGACCGGTGGCTGAGCCCCAGCTTCCCAGGAGACAGACCGGTGCCCTCCAGGGACGGGGACGCGCGTCACATCTGTGGGTGTTCCTGGTCCCAGCAGGCACTCCCTGCGTGTGGGTGGGCCCGGTGCTGCCGAGTTTACCTGCTCAGATCCAGACCCTGGAAAAGGCTCCGAAATCTAAAAATAAAACCATGTTAACAGGCTCTCGACAAGGTCCTGGGGCGATCCCTATTGATTTCAGCTTCACACAGACTTTGATTTCAAAAAAAAAAATAAAAAATAAAAGCTTCTGGCAAATCGCTCCTGTTTCAGGCGTGTTTTGTCGGAGTCTCTGCCCCAGCCCGTGGATCACGCGTGTCCTCCCGTGCAGGCGCCAGTGGTCATTGAACGTGTTGCTTTCTTTGCGTACGTGTCTCCCCTTGGTGTGTCCTCAGCCAGAAGATCTCCAAAGGGCGCATGTGATGCGCTAATTACCCGCCCCCCCACCCCCATGTGCAATTAGCAAGAAGCTCACAGTGGAAATAAACCCAAAGCTACGGCATCGGTAGCCACACAGTACCCGTCCTGGAACCGGGTAGCGGATGTGCGGGCGGGCGTTCACTCAGCAGTGATTTCAACTCTTTTTTTTTTTTTTTTTTTTTTTTTTTTAATGTTTACGATCAAATGATGGCAAACAAAACACTTGGGAGACAAGCCCCTGGTCCCACATGCCTGCCTCGCTCCGTGGGGCGTGCGTGGCCCAGTCCGTTCACCGCTCGCCGCCTTCGTCATCTTGTTCCTTAAGGCCTTGAGCTCTCCTGGTGCCGGTGGCCGCGTCAGCTGTCCTTTCAGGTTAAACCAATGTCCTGGGTCCGGCTTGCCGGGCCCCCCGGGGTCTCCGGAGCCCTGTCTGTCTGGTGCAAACACGGAGACAGCCTGGGTTCCGCCTCAGGAGGGACGCGGGGGGTGCAGGCAGCCCGGAGCCTCCTGAGAGTGGACTGGTCACCGGAGGGGCTGGGGAGGGGTGTCACCTGGCTTTTTATTTTATATACGAGAGGCCCGGTGCATGGATTCACACACGGGTGGGGTCTGGCCGGCCCGCCCCATCTGGGCCGATCGGCCGGGTCGGCTGGGGAGGAAATGTGAGAGGTTGGTTGGTGGGCCGGCTCTGCCCAGAATCAGGGTGTGGAGGGCCAACTAGGGGCAGGGCGGGCCGGTCCCACCGCCTGGTCAAACTCCAGTCAAACTCCCAGTCGAGGGGACAATTTGCATATTACCCTTTTATTATATAGGATATCTTTATTGATTTCAGAGAGAGGAAGGGAGAGTGATAGAAACATCCATGATGAGAGAGAATCACGAATCGGTTGCTCCCTGCATCCCCCCCCCACTGGGGACGGAGCCCACAACCCGGGCCTGTGACCTGACGGGGAATGGAACCCTGACCTCCTGGTTCCTAGGTCGATGCTCAACCCCTGAGTCACGCCGGCGGCCGGGCTCACCTGGCTTCTCAGGACACGTTCCAGGCGGGAGGCAGGATGGGACGCGCTCGCAGCCACCGTTGCTGGACCCCCGGGCTCCCGACCTCGGGGCTGTCGGCATGTTTTATTCAACGCGCATCTCATTGTTTTAATAAGTAACGGGTAGCACATCCCGGTCCCTCCCTGCAAAGCCTGCCGTCGCCGCCGCGGACCACCAAGACACCCTCTCTGCGCAGAATGCAAATGCCGGTGCCTTGTAAACGCTGCGATGTACACGCACGTGCTCCCAGCTTTTTAATCATTTTTTAATTTCACTTTTAAATTGCCGCTGACATTCGAGGCTGTTTTACATTCCCGCCGGGTGTACGGCGTCGTCTTTCGAAGTTTGGTGACGCTGAAGGGTTCTCTCCGGGGTTGAAAACTGTAATTAAAACAAAAAAAAACCCAAAAACAACCTTCGTTTCTGCCTCTCAAATGATGAGGACAAGCACCCGCCCACCGCGGCCAGCACAGTTTTCCTTTGTGTCCATCATCGGGTCCAGGGGAGGGCTTTTCCTTCACGGGGCTCCTGTCACAATCCGTGGGATGATGTGAGAGACACACGTGGATTGGTTGCCTCCCCCACGTGCCCCCACCGGGCCGGGGATCGAGCCTGCAACCGAGGTACGTGCCCTTGACCGGGAATTGAACCCGTGTGGGTGCTCTAACCACTGAGCGAGCTGGCCAGGGCCTGGCGGTCCCCGGCCCCAGGTCCCGCTTCTCTTTCGCTTGAATGTAAGAGTCTGTCCCTTAGCCCAGGACCTCCCGAGAGGGGTCCGGCGGCCGCGGTTAAGTGAGGAAATGAAAGGCTGCCAGGTGGGGGCGTGCATCACTCCGGGATATTTTCAAGCCCAGATGTGACCCAGGTTCGTTCCCCGTAGATGAGTTTTCTTAAAAAAAAAAAAAAAAAATGATGCCTCCAGCCCGGCCGGCGTGGCTCAGGGGTGGAGCATCGACCTAGGAACCCGGAGGTCACAGTTCGATTCGCGGTCAGGGCACAGGCCCGGGTTGCAGGCTCCGTCCCTGGTAGGGAGCGGGCAGGAGGCAGCCCATCCACGATTCTCTCATCATTGACGTTTCTTTCTCTCTCTCCCTTCCTCTCTGAAATCAATGCAAATATATTTTTTTTAAAAAAGAAGAAGAAAAATGATGCCTCCACGTGGGTGGGGGGTGGGGAGGCGAGTCCCGAGTGTGCACAACCTTCGTCCAAAAGGCAGACGCTCCATGCAACTCTGCAGGGAGCACGAAAGGGGGCGGGGCTTAACCAAGGGTGGGGCGGGGCTTAACCAAGGGCGGGGCGGGGCCTCACGTGCCATCAGGGGACCTAGTGGCGGGGCCAGCTGTCATTTCTTCCCATCAGCGGCGTTGCTTGGGGCTTCGGGTTCCCCACGTGTTCGTGGGAGCGGCACCCCCATCAGCCCTGGGTTCCTTCTGGGCGAAATCAATACAATGTAACAGGAACAGGCTTGTCAGAGTGTGTCCACCGGGGACCGTGGGCAGGTGCCGGCGCCCTCCCCCCTCCCCTCCTCCCCCCTCCCCTCCGCGCAGGGATGGAGCGGTTGCCATGGCAGCCGCCGCACGTGGAGAGCTCCCGCTTGTCTCAGCGGCTGCCCTGGAATCTGACAGACTTCACACCGTCTCTAGGAATTTATAATTTTAGCCTGAAATCAGCAGGTTCTGTGCGGTGATTAAAAATGTTCAAATTTATGCGCGGCCCTTCCACTCAAAGCCTGGACCCCCCACCCCACCCCACCCCCCCCAAAAGCGAGGAGGCATAAACACGGCTTAGACACAAAGGCCGAGTTTGGGGGGGGGGGTCCCAGGTGCTGCTGCAAAGGGGATCTTCGGGGGTGTTTTTCCACGTGGGTGTGGCCGCCTCCCGGGTGGCAGGAGGCCTCAGAGAGGAAAACTCCCCGGCTGAGACCAGGAAACGCGGTCCCAGCTCTGCCCCTCAGGGAGAGGGTGGCATTGTTCCCCATTCTCCCAGCGCCCCTGCCCCCCCCCACCCCCATCCAGGAGCCTCAGTGAGCCACGGGCTCGCCCTTCGTTCCTGCCGGAGGGACACGCCCTAGGATTGTGGTTAACACAGCATCAGGGGCAACAGCCGCGTCCCTAAGAAAAGCAGCGCTGCCCGGCTCGGGTGGCTCAATGGTTGAGCATCAACCCCTGAACAAGTGGGCGCCGGCTCGATCCCCAGCAGGGGGCGTGCAGGAGGCAGCCGACCTAAGTCTCCGGCTCATTGGAGGTTTCTCTCTCTCTCCCTCTCCTTTGCTCTCTCTCTATAAAGTCAATAAAAAAATATATTTTTTTAAGTGAGAAGGTTGGGAGCCCACGCCCGCTCGGAGGACGTCCCGGGCGGTCCCCGTGACCCCGCCGGGCAGCTCCACGCGGGGCTCCCGCCGTCACAGGCCACGCGGTGTGTGTCCGCCTTCCACGCGTGTCCGTCTCCCGGGCCGTCTGTTGTCCGGGGTTTACCGCCCAGAGGCCCGGCCCCTCTGCGGGCGGGTCTCCCTCCGGAAATGCTGGCGGCGCGAACAGCTGAGCCGGCGACCCTGCTCGGATGTGAGTGTGGAATCCAGGAAGGTGGGGTCTCCGGCCTCCCCAGGTCCCGAGGCCGCCGTTGGGCCGCGGGTCCGATGTGCTGTGTGTGTTTGATTTCCAAGCGGCTTCAAAACATGTCGTTTATTGTTTCAGGGCCCAAGGATCCGCGCCCCCTCCCCTCCCCGGCCCTCCCCTCCCCTCCCCCGGCGCCGCCTGGCAGTCCAGCCAACGCCAAACCTGCATAATTAATGTGTTCTCCGGTTGCTCACCTGCATCCTGCATCCGTGCCCATCACCTCCTGGGAGGCAATTAATCATCCACTTGGCATCGTGGCACCAGCTCGATAAGGTGGCCTCGCGCCACGCGGGCGGGCGGGCTCGGTCCTGGAAGGTGCCAGGATCCGCCTTCGAAGCGATGCCAGGCGTTCAAGGGTGGCATTCCCCCCCCCCCCCGTTTGTCTTGGGGGGCGACGGGGGGACATTAACAGCTTTTTGTTTTGATTGTTAAGTAGCCAATCGCGTTTCCCTCCCGGTGGCAGCGGCTCCCCTCCGTCCTCCCTCTTCCTGATGAAGAAAGATGTCTCTCTCGCGGCCTCTTTACCCGCAGGATGCGAGGAGCAGGTGCTCCAAGCCGCGTCCCCAAAAGAACAGCGCGTTCCCAGCACAGAGTCCCGCGAGGACGCCGAGCGTGAGCCCTGGCACCGCCTCCCGACGCAGACAAGGGACAGACAGCCCGTCAGGAGGAGGAGAGCCGCCCGCACTTGGCCGAGGCGCCCGCCGGCCCGGCCTGAATGGGCCTCAGAGCCGCCCAGCAGCCGCCGCAGCTGCCCAGGGTCGGCCCTGATCACAGGGCTGAAGTCGGACTGAAAACAATCCGTCTCCATTAGCTGTCCCTCGAGCTGGGGTCTGGGAGTCCGTGTGCAAATGCAGCCCAGCCCGGCCGGCGTGGCTCAGGGGCTGAGCATCCACCTAGGAACCAGGAGGTCAGGGCTCCATTCCCGGTCAGGGCACAGGCCCGGGGTGCAGGCTCGATCTCCAGTGGGGGGCATGCAGGAGGCAGCCGATCCATGATTCTCTCTCATCATGGATGTTTCTCTCTCCCTCTCCCTTCCTCTCTGAAATCAATAAAGACATATAAAGAAAAGAAAGAAAGAAAATGTAACACCAACCTCTCTTTGCAGGGCCCTGGCCAGTGTAGCTCAGTGGTTAGAGCGTCGGCCCACGCATCGAAGAGTCTCAGGTTCGATTCCAGGTCACGGGCACGCACCTCCGTGGCGGCTTCCATCCCCGGGCCTGGTTGGGGCACGGACGTGCGGGAGGCCACCACTCGGAGAGAGAAACATTGACGTGTGAGAGACACATCGACTGGTTGCTTCCCACACGGCCATCAGCGCTCCCTCTGACATCCCATGTCTGTGTCCCCCCGGACGACAGTTCTTCCCCCCGCGCACCTGCTCCTGCTCCTGCGGTTCAGGAGAACCAGGCCCGTCCTTCCTCCCAGCGGGGAATCCCTCACGTGGTCACGTGGTGCCGGTCAGCACACACGCACACGCACACGCACACACACGCACATGCACCAGCTGACAGCAGTGTCTGATCCCTGTGAAAAGCGGGGCTTCTGGCACATGAATAACGCGCGGAAGTCGGCGTGCAGTCCCTTTGATCCCTCCGAGCCTTTATCAAAGGAAGATAAGATACACCGACGGGCACCCTCTGAGAATAGCGACCTCCCTCGACCCCGGTCCTCGGCACAGCTTGACTCACGACGGAGGGGGGCGGCTTTGTCTGCTGCGAGGAAGGGAAAGTAGGGCAGCCGTGGGAGATGATTCTGCATCGCCCGGCTCGGGGCGAGGCTCTGCTCCGGCATTTTGTGAAATGGGACACGGTGCGCCCCTGCCAGGGCCCTTTCACGGAGGGATCAGGCCACATGCAGACACGGGCATCTGCACCGGTTGTGAGCCAGTTCGTTCTTGTAGGAACATGGAATCCAGCCCTGTCGGCGCGACTCAGTGGTTGAGCAAGCGTCCACCTAGGAACCGGGAGGTCAGGGTTCGATTCCCGGTCAGGGCACAGGCCCGGGTTTCGGGCTCCATCCCCAGTGGGGGGCGTGCAGAAGGCAGCCGATCCGTGATTCTCTCTCATCATTAATGTCTCTCTCTCTCTCTCATCATTAATGTCTCTCTCTCTCCTCTCTCTCTCTCTCTCTCCCTCCCGCCCCCCACCTTCCTCTGCCTCTAAACTTGACTTTAAAAAAGAAGGACACACAGGGTTTGATCCTATGTTTTCAGAACTGTCACGCTTTCTAGCTTCACGCACTGTAAATACTTTGGGAACAAACTCAGCCGGCAGCCATGATCCCTTTCAACACCACACTTGGCTCAAGAGCTGCTGATACTCACAGTGCAGCGGTCGGGTGTCCGACGGCGGCGGCGGTGAGGACGCGCCCGTTCTGTCTTCTTCGGTGGCCAGCAGCGGGGTTTTCCTCTGGGCGAGAGAAACAGGGGCCTCGAAGGTACTTCTCGGGCAGCGTCGTTTCCCCGCTCCGTCCGTGAGAACCACGCCTTCCCACCCTCAAGGCCACCCCGGATGTGCCTCTGCTCCCCCCTCAAACAGGGGTGGCGTTCCGGCTCCCGATGACTTATTTCTCTTTGCTTTTCACTTCTTCACGCCTCGGCGCCCACGGCATCGCGCGCCGTCACGTATGGGTTGGAGCTCAGTGACGGGGAGGTGCCCCGGCGCGTCTGATCGCCTGCGTCGGGCGAGGTTATTAAAACGGTGCAAATATAAGTCGCCATAGCAACAGCAGCATCCGTTCCTGGCCTGTTTCATAATCTCGGGCCCGGAGAAAAGGGTGCAGGCTGAGCCGGGAGGCAGCGTGAACACAGCTGCTGGGTCATGGGCTGTAGAAACCCCTCACGCTGACGGGCCGAGTCCTGGGAGGGTCCGGAGGGACGGGCCTGGGCCTTCCTTCCTCTCTCTCTCTCTCTCTCTCTCTCTCTCTCTTTGTTTTAATGCATTGTTATTTGTTTCAGAGAGGAAGGGAGAGGGAGAGAGAGAGAGATAGAAACATCAACGATGAGAGAGAATCATGGATCAGCTGCCTCCTGCACGCCCCCCACTGGGGATCGAGCCTGCAACCCAGGCCTGTGCCCTGACTGGGAATTGAACCATCGCCTCCTGGTTCATAGGTTGACGCTCAACCATTGAGCCACACTGGCGGGCTCCAAACCTGTTTCCCTCCTGCTCTTCCTCCACTCCCTGAACTCCGGCCACCATGGTCCTTGGCAACCCCAAGTGCCACCTCTCCTGTCCCCCCCACAACCTTTGAAGCCCCTGTTATCTGTGCCTGGGACCTTCCTCCCTCAGACCTCCTCCTACTCGACCTCCTCTCCTTCCTCCTCCTCCCCCTCTTCTCTCTCTCTCTCTCTCTCTCTCTCTCTCTCTCTCTCATCCTCCCTCTTTCTTGCCCCGAGGTGCACACAGTCCTTGAAGAAGTGCCCACACAGTCCTGCCTTAGAAATAAAGAATCAAGGACTGCTGGCCTCGCTTCGCTCTCAGCCCTGAGGACACGCCTTGGCTGCACTCCCAGGCGGAGATAAAGACGGGAGCTTTGTCATTTCTCTGAGGCTGAAGGAATTGGAACACAGAGCTAGAATCTGGCAAAATGCTGCGCTGTGTTAAGGAAGAATTAGTAAGGAGTTTTATTGGACCCGTCGGGGGAGTGTGGCAAGTGGAATAGTTCTAACGGCTTCTACTGGGGACGATACAGGAGATGCCAGCTAGTGATGGTGGTGATGGTGATGGTGATGATGGTGATGATGGTGAGGTGATGGTGATGATGGAGATGATGGTGATGATGATGATGGTGATGATGATGGTGATGGTGGTGATGATGATGATGGTGATGGTGATGATGGTGATGATGATGGTGATGATGGTGATGATGGAGATGGTGATGATGGAGATGGTGATGATGATGATGGTAATGGTGATGATGGTGATGATGATGGTGATGATGGTGATGATGATGGTGATGATGGTGATGATGATGATGGTGATGGTGATGATGGTGATGATGATGGTGATGATGGTGATGATGATGGTGATGATGGTGATGATGGAGATGGTGATGATGGAGATGGTGATGATGGTGATGATGATGGTGATGATGGTGATGATGGAGATGGTGATGATGGTGATGATGATGGTGATGATGGTGATGATGGAGATGGTGATGATGGAGATGGTGATGATGATGATGGTGATGGTGATGATGATGGAGATGGTGATGTGATGATGATGGAGGTGATGATGATGGAGATGGAGATGGTGATGGTGATGATGGTGATGATGATGGTGGTGATGGTGATGATGGTGGTGATGTGATGATGATGGAGGTGATGATGATGGTGATGATGGTGATGATGATGATGGTGATGATGGTGATGATGATGGAGATGGTGAAAACGATGATGGTCTTGATGGTGATGATGGGGGTGATGGTGATGGTGGTGATGATGGAGATGGTGATGATGATGATGGTGATGATGGTCTTGATGGTGAGGATAATGGTCGTGATGACCTGCGTGTGTGTGTATATGTGTTCTGTTTGCCAGGCGATGATTGACACATGTGTTAGCATATCTGCATGTGCTGGCTGACGCCTTCAGAACTAGTTTTGAGAGGAGGTCCCAGAACTGCAGAACGACCCTCTCAAGGGTGCATGTGCCGGGCATTTTCTGGTACAAACCCACTGCCCACAGCCCCAGAACTAACTCCTCCGTGACGGGGCCGCCCCTCCTAAGGTGAAGGCCGCCCACTGTTCACATTTAAAAACCAGTGGGCCCAGCGCTGCTCCCACGGGGCCTCCGGCCTCGGCGTGCTGTCGGGAGCTGAGGCCGGTGCCAGAGGCTTGGCCGGCCTCCCGGAAGCTGCCATTTTTCTTCATTTCCTTGGAGCCGAGCGCGTTGTTGAAACAAGCGCTCCTGCCTAATATGTCAACACGGCAGAAACGGATGCGGTAAACCAGGGATTGTTAGAAGGAGCCAGAGACGCGTATGGATGTTTCCTCATTAAGGCTGTCAGTCTCGCCCGAGCACCTGCTAGAGATGCAAGGCTGTGCTCAGCTCCCTCGTTGTTGCAAACCCGTCTCCGAAGGTAAACACCTGTCTGGGGCCAGCACACAAGGTGACGGCGTTGAGACCCTGCAGGGCCTGGTCCTGGCACCGCGCCCGGGCTCAGGGCGGGGGAGTCAGGGATGTGCACCCCGTTCGTTCTCTCGTGAAGACCCTTCCTCCTACGTAGGCGCTGGGTCTGATGGCGGCTTGAGTGGCCATAGGACGAAGGGGCCAGGGGACATCGTACTTGACCCCTGAGCAGCATTGGACTCAGGCAAATGGCTCCCTCTTCTTGGAAAAATGTCCATCAGGCCTGGCCGGTGTGGCTCTGTGGCTGAGTGTCCACCTAGGAACCAGGCGGTCACGGTGCGATTCCCGGTCAGGGCACACGCCCGGGTGGCGGGCTCCGTCCCCAGTAGAGGTCACGCAGGAGGCAGCCGATGGATGTGCTCTCATCGATGTTTCTCTCTCTCTCTCCCTCTCCTTCTCCCTTTCTCTCTCTCTAAAAAAGAAAAAAATGGACACCCTAGCTCGTTTGTCTCAGTGGATAGAGCGTCGTCCTGTGGACCGAAGGGTCCGGGTTCGATTCCAGTCAAGGGCACAGGCCTGGGTTATGGGCTCGATCCCCAGTGGGGGGCGTGCAGGAGGCAGCCGGTCCATGATTCTCTCTCATCATGGATATTTCTCTCTCTCTCTCCCTCCCCCTTCCTCTCTGGAATCAATAAAAATATATTAAAAAGAAAAAACGAAGAAGAAATGCACATTTTAAAATCTACGACGCATCGTTATTTCCCAGCGACCACGCTGACGCCCCACGTTTCTGCACCTCGCCCCCCCCCCCGCCCCCCGCCAAGGTCAGGACACGGAGGCAGGCACGTCCCCACCTGGAAAGGCCAGACGATGCTGCGAAGATGAGAGCATCTGTCTTGCGTTTTCCACAGGCTTCACCAGGAGCCATAACTCACACTCTTATGCCATGAAGTGTCTCCGAGCCATTCTTCATCGTCAGCGGCGAAACCCCGGGCCCAGCGCGGAGGGAGGCGAGAACGGGGACCGAGAAGGCCACTCATCACGGCGCCGGTGGGACGTGCGCGGACGCCCGTGACAGATGAGCCTGCGAGGTGCCCCTGGTTGGACGGCGACTTCCTCCTGAAAGGCTCCCGTCCCCTGTATCGTGCTGATTATCGAGGGAGAACTCCTTGTTTTGTGTGTGTGTGTGTGTTTTATATATTTGTATTGATTTCAGAGAGGAAGGGAGAGGGAGAGGAAGGGAAAGAAATATCAATAATGAGAGAGAATCGTGGACCGGCTGCCTCCTGCACGCCCCCCACTGGGGATCGAGCCCGCGACCCGGGCACGTGCCCTGACCGGGAATCCAACCCGGGACCCTTCAGTTCTCAGGCCCACGCTCTATCCACTGAGCCACACCAGCCAGGGTGGAAATCAGTTTTTGATTTATTGACCTCAGGGGCAGCCGGGCTGAAATTGCGGGCAGGCGAAGACGCGTCCTCCAACGACGGCCGATCACCGGGGGACATCCATCAGAGGCGTCTCCTGGCGCCTCCCTGTCCAGGTGATGGACCGCCCCAACCCCGGGAAGGGCCCCCGACTCGCGCCCCAGCGGCCCCGCCTGCCACGCTGATGGATGGGGCGGGCAGCGCCTCTCAGGACGAGGCACACACGGCGACGTTGGCCTTTTGGAAACGCCTGGAGGCCACGGTTCCTTTAGAGAACAGAGAGCCCAGGACATGTGGAGCGAAGAGCCCGCTCACTCAGCGTCCAGCCCAAAGCCCCTCCGCGGTGGACGGTCAGCGGGCGAGGACGATGGCACAACCCTTCCTAGTTATGACGCAGGGCGGGCCAGCAGGCCTCACAGCCACGAGCCGTCGATGGGAAATTCCAACCGGGAGGTGCAGGGCCAGGTTCTGATTGGACGGAATAAGCAGACAGTCCGTTTGGTTTTAAATGATTAAAGACAAAAACCAGCATGGCCCTGCCAGTGTGGCTCAGTGGGTTGGGTGTCATCAGCAAGTTCAATCCCCAGTCAGGGTGCATAAGGGAGGCAACGAATCAATGTTCCCCCCTCTCTCTCTCTTTCTCTCTCTCTGTCTCTCTCCCCTCCTTCTGCTCTCTCTAAAATCAATAAAAACATATTTTTTGGAAAATCAATATCTATGTGCTAAAACCTACGGTTTATCAGATGTGTCCTAAAAGAAAATTAGATTTTAAGAAACCCCGCTAATAGAACCCAAATCTAACCGACTTAACAAGCAGTATTAAAAAGAACGCGTTATAATTTAAAGTTTTCTTTCATTACGTTAATAAGGCAGTTCCACTGAATAGTTTTAATTTTCAGAAAATTAATTTAAACCAAATTATCTCACTTAACGAGGCGTAATAATAGGATGGAGCCCAGAGCGCTCTCGGCAGCGTGTTTGCACAGCGGCCCGTGGTGTCTGTGAGGCGCTGAGTCCAGGCGATGATGTCATCGTCGCCTTGTTTGCATTTCGTTGCAAAGTTCAGACAAGTTGTTCTGAGCCCGTGGGGAGCTTTTCGAGGCCTGGGCTGTCTTCAGCAGAACCCAGGAACCAGCGGCTTCGGCCCACTCTGCACCCTTAATTTTTCTACTCTCAATTTTTAAAAAATATATTTTTATTGATTTCAGAGAAGAAGGGAGAGGGAGCGAGAGATAGAAACATCCACG